TTGTTGGTCCTGCCCTGGCTCTGTGGCCCCCAGATGCTCTGTATTTTAATTAGTAACAGTGGAATAATAACTTAGCTCCATTGATCATTTACTATGTTCCAGGCGATGGGCTACGGGCTTTACATTATCTCATTTAACAGGGACAGGAAGTCTCCGGGATAAGTACAGTGATTTCACAGAGGAGGAAATGGAACTACAAAGAAATTAACTCACTTCAAAGCAACGCAACAAGCAAATGCACACCCGGGTGTATAGCCTGTTACCACTTATATAAAAGGAAGGAGGGATAAATATGTTTTTACTTAAATGTACACAAAATATACTCAGAAAAATATGCAAGAAACTGCTGACATTGGTTGCTGGTTGGGAAGGGAATGGGGTGGTTAAGAGACAGGGATGGGGGGCAGAGGCAGAGTCAAGTTTTGGAGGCACCGAAGTGCATACAATTTGGGGGGCAAGGGAAGATTTTAAAGAAAAAATAATGCAAGATCATGAATACAGAATTAGGTGCAGCCCTCAGAAGGGGCCTATGCAAACAAGGGTCCCTGAAGCCAAAGCTTCTATAGCTTCACGTTAAATCTGCCTCCAGCCAGAAGAAAACATTCCCTGTATGGACTTTTGCATGTGTCTGGAGTTTGAATCCTGTGACTGTATTGCCTATCCAAAAAGTATATAGTTATTTTAATTAATATTTAAAAATGCCATCTCTCCAACTGACAGCGTGAAACGGGCCTTTTAAAAATTTTTCAAAAAGCAAATAACTGCTTCGTTTATTTCCAAGCAGAGAAGGATGTACTTGCAGCAAGCTGGAGGGGGCGCTGAGAAGGAGTTCTGGAGCGGTCTGTGGACTGCAAGCCAGGTAGCAGAAGACAGGGATTTACTTTAAGGGTTAGAAGTAGAAGCTTGTGCCGGAAGTCTAAAAGCCTTGAGTGTGTAACACACTTGCTGCACAAGTCGGGTTAAGGAGAGAGTCCCTGATCTTTCAGAAGCTGACAAGGGAAAAATAAAATAAAAACTAGAATAATATTGAACTGATGGCTAAGAGAGAACTGATTTCCCGAAAACCAGTGCTGGAGGACCAGCGTGAGTGGACTAGATGCTAATGCTCTTTCCCAAATGGATCTGATGGCCTCGTGGTTTTCTATTACTGCATCCAGGAGTAGGAGGTCCTTACCGTAAACTACCTAGAAAGCACTCATCTTCTTAACCACTCAATTAGGATAATTCACCTTCATGATGAATGGCACTGCTCCTTCTCTCTGATTTAGTCTGTGCAGGTCCCCATCGAGAGCAAATATAGATGGTTCTGTCTGCAGCAGAGAGCCAACCCTGCGTCCTCACCACCCTGATGCCCAAACTTGCAGCACTGTACTTTCCATCCATGTGGAAGGAAAAGAGTAGCAAGCCCCTCAGGTCAACAGAACATAACATAGCTAGCAGTTCCTTCCATTTATCTTTCTCCTGTAGGCAGAACAAATCTGAACTCGCAGAGAATTTGGAGTGGATACACAGGAGAGTCTTCTGACAGTAAGAACTGAAATACTGGGATAAAGGAAGGCTTTCCCCCCAGTCCACAGGAACTCCATACTTTGGGTGGTTATTTAGATGCCTTCTTGGTTACTGTGGAGACAGGTTGCAGCCACCAAGGCCTCTCAAATTTTCCCCTGCTCTTGAACTTCCTCAACGGTCACATGACCTTTTATTTTGTGATGTTTTATTTGGGTCAGGAGTGGGTCTCCTTTCTTTTTCTATTGAAACAGAGGAGAATAGATATGACCATATAAGTAAAACAAACAAATGAGAGCGGGGGAAAGCTAGGGGAAAGGAGTATAAAGTGTTTTACTTATACTCTCTGAGAACTGAAAACCGGGAAGCAATTCAACACATACACCAAACTACTGAAAATAAGCTTTTCCTCCATGCTGTGGGCAGACTGGATACGCAGAGAGAGGAACAGAAATAAAAAGAGAAGAATAAGAAGTAAATAAATGTAACATAAAATGAAAAAGAAAGACATAGGAAGAGACAAACATACACCAGGAGAAGCAAGATATGAAAAGGGACACAGACAGAGGGACTGGTGCCCAGAGGGACAGGTAACCATGACCGGGCTGACCAGCTTTCATGGACTCTTACTCGCCCCCTTGTGGCCATCAGGGATATTGCACAAAGCCAATGACAATCCAACCTTAAATTTCCAGCTCTGTAGAAACAAATGGGGTGTCATCACAGGAGCATTTTCCCATGGGAATGGGAAATTGAGTAGAAACTGAGCAAAGTCTGGTGGCTATCCCCTCCTTGTAGGACCCATGGAGGAGCATAGTGAATGAGGAGTAGGAAGGAGCACATTTCAGCGGGTGCTTGCCTCAGTGTTACTTGTATCCTTGAAGAAGCTACTTAGCTCCTCTTTGCCCCCATTTTCCATGAATAATAATGAAAAAATGTAACTGTTCCAATTCCCGCAAGGAAGCTGCAGAAAAAAACAACAGTCCCTAAGAGAGTTCCATGTATCACCCTGATTTTCTAAGCCAATTTCACGTCTGCCAGTGGGAGGTGAGCCATGGAGCCCTGAGTGTGGGTGAGTGTGTGCTAGCCTCAGACATTCAGGCTCCTCAAGGAGAGATGGTGCTGGAGTCTCCCTCCAGGCAGCTTTCCAAAATGAGCATCCAGCCAGGCCAGCCTCATCTCTCCCCTGGACCCCTGCCATGCCTTCCTCCAGGGCACGCTCCGCTTAGAGGCAGCAGCAATCTTCTCAAGACACACATCAGATCACACCATTGCAGCGTGAATCCTTCAGTGGCTTCCTACTGTTATCAGAACAAAATCAAAACTTCTCAGCCTGGCCTGCAGGACCCTGAAGTTATCTGTCCTGCTTGCTTCTCCGGCCCTCTACGCTCACACTGTCCTGCAGCCACACTGGCCTTCATTCTGCTCTGCAAACATACCCAGCTCTCTCTTGTCTGGGTGCAGTGGCACTGCCTTTGCCTCTGGTTCAGAGCCCTCCTTGCTCCAATATCTGCAGAGCTGTTCCTCTCCTCCTTCAGGTCTCAAGGTTAATGCCTGCCCCCCAGCCCCCAGGAGGCCTTTTCGAACCACTTTGAAATGGTTCCCTCTTTAGTCTCTACTTAAACCCTCTGTTTAGGTCCTTCAGGCCCTTATCATTTTATCTCTTTTCTTTCTTTTCTTTTCTTTCTTTCTTTTTCTTTCTTTTATTTTTTCTCTTTCTCTCTCTCTTCTTTCTTCCTTCTTCTTTCTTTCTTTCTTTTCTTTCTTTCTTTCTTTCTCTCTCTCTCTCTCTCCCTTCCTTCCTTTCTTCCTTCCTTCCTTCCTCCCTCCCTCCCTCCCTCCCTCCCCAAATAGACTGTAAGCTTTATGGAGAAAGAGTGACATATTCTGGTTCTTATTTACTGTTGGCAACCCCAGTGCCTTTGCACTGTATGTGGCCCCTAGTATGTCCTTGAATTGTTGTTAAATTAATATATGAATGTATGGATAAAGTGGAATTTGGGATTTTGAAGGAATGGAAAAAGTGAAATTTTACAGGTCTAAGAAAACTGGATGAGGGTTTTGAGGGGGATGCTTTTGGCAAAGGATATACAAAGCCATCCTGGGCAGAAAGTGTGCCAGATTTGAGAGAGAAGCTGGTGAAGTAATCACAGACACCAAGACCAGTTAGAGAAATTAAGATGCTTGGAGAATACTCACACCAAAATACGGAATGCACAGCCTAGAAATCATCCCGGAGTTTCTGTCTTTATCATAATTTAAAAGTTTTGGGGGAGAGGAGAGCTAGGGAAAGGCAGACCCACGAGGGAGAAAAACTGAACTGTCAGACTCAGAGCAATTAAGTCCATCAGAACGGAACAACCGCTAAGGAAGGTGAATTTCTTGGCTTATAAACCTTCACATTGCTCCTCTGTGCTTTGGATATGTAAATGTCTTTGCCGACTGGCAGCACAGGAGGAGGGAACAGCCTCCTTATCCACCCAAAGTCTTGCATCTGCTCCAGAATCTTATCACAGCACTCTAGGTGTAATTAACTTGAGCGATGACATGCCCTTGAGGAGGCTGTCAAAAGCTCTCTCCCCCAAGAGCTGTCAAGCCCTCTCTGGGGAATCAGAAACAGAGGGAAGTGGGAAGCCCATCACCTATATCACTAGCATGTAAGCTCCAGGGAGAGGGACTTTAATCTGTTGTAGGTTCCCACACATACTATCAGGTAAGGGCAAGCATGCAACAGCTATGTAATTAGTGTCTAGAAAGAGCTCCACACCGGTACTGAGGTTCCCCTTTCTATCCTGGTCTCTGCCTGGTCTGTGACATCATGCAAGCTAACTTCTCTGGGTGCATTTTTACAACACACAAAGGCTGACCTGACCTCTATTTCCTCCCCTAGGAAACTCTATAGGCTCTGAAGTCCCTTCTAGCTTTAAAATTTGACATATCAATATATCTGTAAGTCATCTATGCATCAATGTATATTTGTTTGCAGCTCAGCTAAGCCTAACTGATAACACGAGTGGACTACTTTTATGGTTGTCAGATAAAATATAAGACACCCAGTTAAATTTGAATTTCAGATAAACAATAAATACTTTTTTAGTATAAGGAGTCCCATGCAATATTTGAGACAAATATTTAGGACCTTGGCTAAATCTGACAATTTTAACTATTTGTCTTCTATCCTCCAGACTTTGTAAACTTTTGGAGACAGTAATAGATCTTACTCATCTTTGGAATCCCTTACAATTGTGTTTGCCAGATTTTTGGGTTTCACAGATGAAACATGATTGGATTTTCTTTCAGGGGTAAACAGTTTTTTTTATTTTGGTAAAGAAAAGTATTTATAACCATCATCGCTTTACTAAAGAAAACCAGGTAAACATGAAAAACTCTGACACAAACTCTCAAATCATTTTATATAATTATGTACAATCATGTAATTATATTAATCATTAAAAAAAATTTTACCTTTACAAAATACTCATTACATTGTCCTTGTGTGTGCGTGTGCGCGTGTGCGTGTGTGCGTTTCTAAGGCAACCAGGCAACGCTTCCAAGCAGTGTGGCACTACCCAGCTGCCCCGCGTTTGGGAGCTTCAGCGGTGTGGTGTTTGCTCGAAGGCCTGGCACAACTTTTTGACTTTTTTGTTTTAGTTGCCCGGGAGGGTGAATTCAATTAGAGCTCAACTGCCTCATCTATCCTCTCTTCTCCCTCCATCCCTTGGCTCATGTGCTCTCCTCCAGGCTTTTAAAACCTTCTAAGGGGTGAATTTTCACTCTAAGTTGCCTCAAGAACCTCAGAAGTATAGGGAAAAACAAAAACAAAAACAAAAGGCTTGCCTATCTCAAGGCCTCAACAGATGATGCTGTTGGCAAAGCAGATGTGAATATTAAGTGGGACCTGATTATATTTCTTTCTGAAGACAATTTTTCTTTTTCTTTCTTTTTCTTTTTACTGAATTCTTATTTTAAGTTCCCCTTCCTAGAATTTTAGAAAGTTAGAGCTAGAAAGGTAATCGCAACTTCTAGTCCCAATGCCAGACCTACCGAATTGGGACTTTGAGGGGTAAGATCCATAAACTCTAGGATCCGAGTTCCATTGGTCCACATGCCCTCTTAGTAGGTATCAAAGGGCAATCTGTCGTTTTCCAGGAGAGGTGACGGAGCACCACAGAGTGAAGTCACTATTATATAAATAGGTGGCAGACACAGGTGAAGAGCACAGCACTCAACTTTCTTAGCAAATTAATGGACTCTGTTGGGGAACAGGAAGGGCAGGGAAAGGTGTTCATTAATTTCTGTTCATCTGTATAGTAGAAAGTTCATGCTGGGTGTAGAGAAATGAAAGACCAAGATTTACCTCGAGCAATAGCAACATCCATCTGGCATCTGTTCTGGGATTTCACGGTTCACTAAACAGTTCTCTTGTCTTGCTTTGATCCCCAGCACAACAAGATTTAGCAAGGTGGTGGTGTTTTCTACCTTAACTTTGCAGAGGAGAAAATGGAGACACAGTCACCGTGCTTACTTGGCCATAAAAGAGGTGGAGTGAGATTGGCCCACTTTCTAGTACTTAATGTCACTCAGGTGTGCTAAGACAGGCCAAAGTCTTTGTAGTTAAAAATTTACATGTTTCAGGGCAACTGGGTGGCTCAGTTGGTTGGGCATCTGTCTTTGGCTTGGGTCCTGATCTCAGGGTCCTGGGATCGAGCCCCACATCGGGCTCCCTGTTCGGAGGGGAGCCTGCTTCTCCCTCTCCCTCTGCAGCTCCCCCTGCTTGTGCTCTCTCTCTCTGTGAAATAAACAATTAAAATCTTAAAAAAAATTTACATGCTTCAAAAATGATTTTGTGTTTCAAAAGTCACACAAGTTCTATATAAGTATTATAAGAAAATCCAAATCATTCAGAAAAATATAGATTAAAAAGAAGAGTGAGTTTTGATGTTTCCTTTCCAGACCTTTTTCTATGAGGTTACATGCATTTATAGTTAAGCCTGCCTTCTTTCCTTCCCTCGTTCCTTCCTTCCTTCCTTCCTTCCTTCCTTCCTTCCTTCCATCCATCCATCCTTTTTAATGGCTCAATCTATACACATTGCTGTGCTTTGTTTTTCTCAACATTATGTCTCGGCCATTTTTCCAAATTCTTAAACAGAGATCTACCTTTGTTTTTAAGTGAACCATGTTTGAAAACTGAATAGCAACATTTGTGTACACTGATGATAAAGAAATATTATATCTAACACCAATATGTAATAACTGACTTGATGGTGTGAGGAAAGGGGTACTGATGCTCAGAAATGGGGTAAGCTGACTCTGATAATGTCAGTTTAGTAATTTTCCCTAAAGAGCAGGGACTTCAGAATCAGAATCACAAATAGGCTAACAGAGCCTTGAAAAAAGTTAGCAAAGAGCTGTCTTAGTTTTCCCATCTATAAAATGGGGATACGAATAACACATGTCCATAAAGTTATCGTGAGGATTAAAAAAGAAAATTTACATGAAATGGTCAGCACAACAACCGAGGAAGACAATGATGATGGGGCCAAACCTCCTGGTCCGGAAAGGTCAGGTCGGAGTTGGGACAGCGGGTGGGGCTTAAATTGCGAGGTAATCAATACCTAGAACTGATGCTCCAGGAGATATTTTTTATTAAGAGCTACGAAATCAATGTCTGGGGTGTCCCCTGGAGACCGTTGAGACCACGAGACTCCAGCTTTGGAAACCTCAACGTTCCGGGCTTTCGAGCTGTGGTGTTTGGCTAAAACTGTGTGGGAACAAAGACTACAATTCCCAGGCTGCATCACTCCAGCCCCGCCCCACCCCGTCCCGCTCACGTTGTTGCGTATCGCCTAATTCTCGCCAGGCTCCCGGCCGGAACTACGAATCCCGGAAGACCTTGCAGCACTGGTCCGTCTCCCGGCTCATCACTCCCACTTTGTCAAGCGCATCTGTGGCCGCGTTGCCCTTTGGGAGGCGTAGTTCTGCCGTGACCAGGCCCCTCCCCCTCCAGGCCCAGGCGCGGCAGTAAGGCGGGCGAACTGACGGCGGTGGAATAGTCGTTCCTGATCGCCCACCCGGAAGGGTAACCTGGCTGGGCAGGACTCTGGAGACGCTCTTGGGGTCGGGGTGGCCGCGAACGTGGCTCGAGTTCCACGTCTGTACGGGTGAGAAGGCGGACGAGACCAAATGCCAGCTTGAAAGAGGGAGTGGGCCAAGGGGACGGGTGAATCCAAGTGGAGATAATAGGGGTGGGAGTGGGGCGTGGCGTTTAGTACCTGGCCGGCTGGAGGCGCCGGCGCGAATCCGGTGGAGCAGGGCTCCCGGCAAAGAGAGGCAGCGGGGAGTCTGGGTGGTGGGATGTCTTTAGGGTTTGGGGCTGATCAGTGAGACTTCTTCATTCCCTGGCCTCTCCTCCCCTGGCTCGTGGAGGCGGCGGACCCGGCCGTGGGCCTGGAGAGTTTGGGGGCGTAGGGGAGCCCTGGTTGGAAAGTTAGGAGTGTGTTACCCAGGGAGCCTGAGGGCTTCAGCTCTGCTCCGGGAACAAAGCCTTTCCCAAATCCTTCCTAACTGGTGGTTGGAGGAGGTGAGAAGTCTCTGGGGATTACCATGGAAACCCATATGTTTTGGAGCTCTGCCCAAAGGGAGTCTTCAGCAGCAAGGAAAGCTTTGAACCCTTTCCGTCTCAGCAGTGCTGCTGTAGTCATCCCCATTGTCATTGTTGTAAACATTACATGTCAGTGGGTTGGATGGAGGCTTAGTCTGAACCAAGCCAGAGAAATTGGGGTCCAGCTCCTTGGCTCTAGAATATTGTAAAAGATTGTATTGTTCATAGAGAAATGTCCTGAGTAAATTAATTGAAAAAAATCAGGATACGAAACAATGTATATAAAGATCCTTTTTTGTAATAAATACACGTATCTCCTAAATATGTGGCATGTAACTATGGATATGAGTAGAAAAAAAAAAAACTAAACTACATTAAACCACCAACAGTGCTTATTGATGGGTGGTGAGATTACAGATTAATTTTACTCTTTTATGTACATCTTTTTGTAGCATCTGAGTTTGTACAATGAGCATGCATTACTTTTTTTTTTTTGCTTATTTTTCCAAAAAGTCACAGTTGCTCCACGGTGGTGCATTTTGGAAGGCAGGCATTAGGGTTCACTGCTTTGTGGCTTGCACCTGGCCACCTGCAGCTTGGTTTGCCAGGAATGATAACAGGATTGAACTAAAGGGGTGAATTTAGCATGCAGTCTATGTGAAGCTAATGTTTCTTCCCTTCTTCCAGTTTGGCAGGAGTCTGTTAGCAAGTGTCACACCATGGTATGTGGCTGTTTTGATCTATGTCAGTTTAATCCGTTATTCTGGTTTGAAATGTCATCTTATTATCTGATAGATTGGGATGCACTGCATAACTTCCTTGGGATCTGCTAACTCACAATGGCTGGGGATGAGAGGGAGAATAATACTGCTGCTAACATACCTTTTTAGTTTTGGATTCCATCTCACCTTGCTCTTTGCTTTTTTGTCAGGGTCTTTGTTTTCGTGTATGCTACCTACTATCCCTGTGTGTGTGTTTAATAATAAAAGAAACCTTTAACATATCCCTTGATTGTGCAAATTGTGCATTTCCTGGAGGAAAGCTTGTTAAAATCAAGGTAGGAGTATGAAAAATAAATATATTTAATGTTTATTTCAATATTTTTTCTTCCTCAGCTTCTGCCAAGTTTCTGATTAAAGATTGACATCCCTGCATAAGCATTTCCCTGTTAAAATGCCCTTGCGTCTTACAGAGGAGCAGAGGAAAAAAATTGAAGAGAACCGGCAAAAGGCTCTGGCCCGTAGAGCTGAGAAATTATTAGCAGAACAGCATCAGAGCACAGGCTCTAGCTCCTCCATTATTGCCAGCAACTCTTCCCAGTCCAAGCAGGGCCCTCCCCCAAACCTCCCCAGGGATCCTTCTAAGCCAGTGAACCATGGTGTTGTTTTCATGCAACAGAATCTCAGTAGTTCATCTAGTGATGACCAAAGACCTCATTCCCACAGTTTTCATCTAAGCACTCCAGAGCAGGCAAAGGGGATCTGGAAGAGACAAGGAGATGTGCCCACAGCCTGCCCGGACCAGAGCCCATTAAGTCAAATGACTCTCACTGGCATCTCTCCTCTCTTGGCACAAAGTCCTCCAGAGGTCCCCAGCCAACAGCTGTTGGGTGGTACGTTAGGTCAGGGTCATCCTCAGGCTTCACACGAAATCAGATCCACACCCTTCGCTAACAGAACTCATGAGCCTTTGGCCAAAGCCAAGAGTCTCCAGAAGACACCAGCTTCTTTCTTTGGACAGCCACCCAGGGATCCTGGAGTAGGGGCCAAGGCAGTGAGGCCCTCCACCTTGGGGCAGGACATTTCTGACACAAACTGTGGCTCAGGGAGCGTGGCACCTGGGACAGAAGGAAGATGCCCACAGAAATTGGGGGCCTCACTCCACAAAGCAGGAAGCTCCCAGAAGGGAACGTGCATAAGGAGTGGGGATCGTTTCCAGGTGAAGATCGGGTACAATGCAGAGCTCATTGCGGTTTTTAAGCATCTACCCAGCAGAAGTTACGGTAATGAGGCTTCGGTCTCGTTCTTCACGTGTTTTGTTTTGTTTTTTTCTATTGTTAAAGTCTCTTTTAATCTAACAGTTTCTCATAAATATGGAGAGAGTGCATTGGCACATTCTGTCCATCCAGTTGTTGAAATTTTCTGTTTTAGCTCATGTTTCCTTTTGTAATAGACGTTCCTTCCAACAGCGGCCAAACTTGGGGGCTGCCACGTGGCCAAATGGAGAATGGATGAATATTTACTGAGAGGCCAGTTCCCCTGCAGGGTGCTTTGTTTGTGTTGTAACACTAAAGCGTAACAACAGTTTTTTGAGATAAGTAAATGTTATTTCCATTTTAAAGGCAATAGGACTGGCTCAGTAAGGTGAAGTAAGACGCTCTTGTTGGTTCCTCTTGAAGGGCAGAGCCAGGATGTGCTAGCTCAGCATCAGCCCAGAGGGCCTGCTCCTTATTCTGTTTACCTGACTAGTCCCATCTCTGTCCTCAGCCCTCTTAGGCGAGGCCATAACGTTCCAGGGCCTGATGAGTTCCACCATATGGAGTAAAAGCACTCTCCTCATTTGTATTTGCTGTTTGTCCCCCACAGGGATTTTGTACATCCATAGGGGCTCTCAGTCAACCCTTTTTCGAACTGAGCACTCGTTCATTCATTAAACAAGCTTTTACTGAATGACTCAGTACGACTCAGAACGATAGTCATCACTCTCGTTATGGGCAAAGCAAGTACTTCTGTTTCATTTCAGATCCTGCCACCAAGACGTGGAACTTCAGCATGACCGACTACAGTGCCCTAAGTAAGTAGGCATGGCATTGCCCTGCATGCAGGGAAGTCCTGGTATTGAGAAGCTCCTAGAACAGCAGATGGGGTCTAGCTTATGGTTTAGATGGCATTTAGGGCGCTACCCCAGTGTCCTTCTCCCTTCTCACTCATGGCCAGCCTATTGAGGCAACTCCTTGGATGAAGGTCACTATATTAACAAAAGCTAGCACTTACTGGATCTGCTCTGCCGGGTTGTTCTAAGCCCCTTTATACAGGCATACCTCGGAAATGTTGCGGGTTTAGTTCCAGACCCTGGCAACAAAGCAGATAGCACAATAAAGTGACTCGGATGACTTTTTTGGTTACCCAGTGCATATAAAAGTTATGTTTACACTATGTTGGAGTCTTTTAAGTGTGCAATAGCATTATGCCTGAAAAAAGAATGTACAGGCCTTAATTTAGAAATACTTGATTGCTGAAACATTACAACCATCACCTGAGCTTTTGGCAAGTTGTAATCACTGATCACAGATCACCAAAACAAACGTAATAATAATGAAAGAGTTTGAAATATCGCAAGAATTAACAAAATGTGACACAGAGACAAGAAGTGAGCAAGTGCTTTTAGGCAAATGGCACCAATAGACTTGGTCCATGCAGGGTTGCCACAGACCTTCACCTTGTAAAAACAACTCCATATCTGCGAAGTGCAGTACAGTGAAGAGCAGTAAAATGAGGTATGCCTGCAGACGCTAACTCTTCTACTTCTCACAACAACCGTTTTTACAGATGGGAAAACTGAGGCCCAGGGAGGATAAGTAACTAAAATTGGGTCGCACAGCCAATGAGTTGTACGCCTGGGATTCAGACTCAGACAGCCTGACTTCAGAGCCCATGTTCCCACGGGGCAGCTGGCTCCAGCCATGACAGGCAGCCGGGCTGCCCTGACAGGAACGGCTCAGCCGACAGCCCTGTCCTCACAGCTCTCCATGTGTTCAGTTCCCTTGAGGGTGCAGGGAAAAGGCGTTGCCCCATCAGGCTCCAGTGGACCCCATTAACCCAGTGTGGTCCGTTGTCAGAGCCCTCGAGGGCACCCCTCTGTCTTCTCAGATTTTGTTGACTCTTATATGAAGGTTTTCGTCACCTCTTGGTGCCCGGAGCCTCTACTTCTGCCAGCACATCAGCCCTGGATGTTCTGGCCTCCCATTTTCCTCCTCTCTTCCCGAAGCCATTTCGAATGCTCTCTCTTTCCCCACCCAGTTCAAAAAGGGGAAAGGCGGCGGGCACTTGGGTGGCTCAGTTGGTTGAGCAACTGCCTTCGGCTCAGGTCATGATCCTGGAGTCCCGGGATCGAGTCCCGTATCGGGCTCCCTGCTCAGCGGGGAGT